TAAACGAGGAATCAGGAGCCCTTCCTGGGCTAAACGAGGAATCAGGAGCCCTCACTGGGCTTAACTGGGGTTCAGGGAAGTGCTTACGAGGTGCTGGCACGGGAGGGCGCTCTGGAGGAGCAGGCACAGTAAAGCGCTTTTGAGGAGCTGGCAATGGAGTGAGCTCTGGGGCTGGCAGGCTTGACTGAGAAACCACCAGCGGGCTTGCCACAGTAGCGGCCGGCATATGGGACACAGTGCAAGTGCTAGGACGCATTTTGTTGTTTGGGGGTGAATTTGCTTTTAGTTTTCTCCAAATATATACAGTAAAATGACTTGAACTGGAGTGAGCTCTGGGGCTGGCAGGCTTGACTGAGAAACCACCAGCGGGCTTGCCACAGTAGCGGCCGGCGGGCTTGCCACATGATCATAGGAAAAATAAATATAGGAAACACCTGGGACAAATGAACTAAATGGGGACCGGAACTTAACAGGAACATACACGTGACACTCCGGGCTATAAAAGCAAAGACATAAGCAATTTAACTAAAGGTTAGAAATTAGTAACCATACAAATAAGGAAGGACTGCTCAAAGGGGTGATGAACATAATGAACTAATCTTTACTTTATTTGTCCCCCAAGAGGGAAATTTGTTTTGGGCAATACAGGTAAAACTGCACAACAAAGTACCAACATCAATAATAACAATCACACAGTTGTGTCCCCTGAATCAGAGTTTAACAGCCTTGTAGCCAAAGGAACAAAAGAGTTTTTATAACGGTTATATCTAGACATCGGAATACGAAAACGTCGACCAGATGGAAGTAATTCAAATTCTTGCTGAAGCAAGAATTTGGATTCCTTATTAGCAATCCAATCCTTATTCCTTATAGGATTAAGGAGTATATGTAACTGTAATATCTTCATGCATAAGAGAGGAGACTGGTACGTTTAAACACGGAGTGAACTTTCATAATCTTACATTGTCTTACTTTTTCCCCTGAGAATTTAATGGCCTGATCTATTTGACAATAATTAATCTTGTGTAAGCTCAGCACAAACTGTATTGATTTCTTATTCAGTAACAACAAAGCTTGTGCGATAAAGCTTGTTCTGTTTTGAATCTGCAGGGCTACCGGTTCTCTCAGGTAGAGTTCGTTAAGAGCCACACCCTTCTAATTTGAGGCCAATATAAATCAAGATCAGGTGAGTGGTTTGATGTAGTTGTGGAGGTGAACTGGTCTTAGAAAGATTACAGACTTTAGGTGATCAGGGTGGCGTGAAAGTGTCTTTTATAATTCCAAGGTTCTTAATTAGTTCCTGCTTGCTGTGATACTTGAGTAAAATGGTGAGATTACTGATGGTTATTTTCACTGTGTTATTAGTGCTGCCAATTTAGCACTTCCCTGCAGTTGACTTTTGTGTTTGTTTGTGGTTTGCCTCGGTCAAACCAGAGGGAGTGTATTTCCATACATATTGGTCAAGCAGGTATCCAGATGGGTAACTCCTGCTGGGAACTGTATTGTTTGGAGCACCGCTTCCAGCCAGATGGAACTATTGTTGCTGATGGCAGCTCTTTGACCGACTCCTCTTTTGGCACTTTCTTCAGTGAAACTGGTGCAAGAATGAGCTAACCTATAAAGGAACACTTTTTATGAGTGTTGGAAAATGGGACACAGTGCAAGTGCCAGGACACATTTTGATGTTTGGGGTGAATTTGCTTTTAGTTTTCTCTTAAACTAAACAGTAAAATGCCTTGAAAATGAATACAGTGGTAGTCAGGGTCACTCTGGATACATATCAATAGAAAGAATGAGCTAACCTATAAAGGGACACTTTTTATGAGTGTTGGAATATGCAGAAATAATCCCAAGTCCAACAATGGAGTTTGATGTTTGGGGTGATTTTGATAATCACCATAAACAAATACAACAACCTCAGGGCTATAAAAGCAAAAGACATAAGAAATTTAACTAAAGGTTAGAAATTAGTAACCATGGACACAAATAAGGACTGCTCAAAGGGGTGATGAACATAATCAGTTCCTAAGGTTAAAATTAAGATTTTAACTTAATTAAATGTGACACTAACAATTAAAATGTAAGAAGAGGTTGAGTGTATGATGTCAGGAGAGTATTTCCCAGCAATTTTGTCCAATACTGTTTCCTATGGTAATAAGCATGGTACGTTTGCACAATAATCCCTTCAAAAATGGAAACTTCATGTTTGAAAATGGGACATATTAATGAAAATTAATACAGTAATATTCAGGGTCACTGTGAACAGGAATCAATGAAAGAATGAGCAAACCTATAAAGAAAATAATTTTATGAGTGTTTGAAAATGGGACATGATGTAAAAGTGCAAAGGTGCACAAAAATGCTTGGGGTGAATTTGCCATTCATTTTCTCCCAAACTATACAGTAAAACGATTTGAAAATGAACACAGTAATAGTCAGGATCACTGTGAAAAGTAATCAATTGAAAGAACGAGCAAACCTACAAAGGAAAGATTTTTAAGGGTGTTTGAAAATGGGTAATGGTGCAACTGGTAGAATGCACTTAGTTTTTTGGAGTGATTTTGCCATTAATTTTCTTCAAAACCATACAGTAAAAAAAATTTTAAAATAATAATAATACAGTAATAGTAAGAGTGACTGTAAACAGGAATCAATCAAAAGAACGAGAAAACCTGTAAAGGAAAGATTTTTATGAGGGTTTGAAAATGGGACATGATGTAAAAGTGCTTATTCACTTAAATGCTTGGGGCGAATTTGCCTTTAATTTTCTCCAAAAAACATACAGTAAAAAGACTTGAAAATTTATACAGTAATAGCCAGGGATACTGTGTAAAGGAATCAACTGAAAGAACGAGCAAACCTCTAAAGGAAATATTTTTATAAGTGTTTGAATGAGCATATTGAAGAATGAGCTAACCTATAAAGGAACACTTTTTATAGACGGGTATAAAAAAAACTTAGTTTACCGCGGCAGCTGTCGCGTGACAGCCTCCTCGTGTGAAGACCGAAGAGTGTAAAGACCATCGACTCTACCGTGTGACTCCACCGTGCAGGGACACTGGCAAAGGATGCACTTGCGCCCCTTTGTGCGCCCATTGTTGGCTAGTCTGAAAACAAGGTGTGTTCAGGGGCATTGCTGGCGCATTGCTATTTTGAGGCAACTGAAAATGATTGCACTACTGACCAACTAAGACCTGGTCTAAAGTAAAAGACGCAGTATTTTTTTATTGATTTAATTAAATAAATATTATTTATTTATTTAAAGGGCGCATTAGTAATACGCACCTATAGGCGGGTGAACAATGCGTGTACACTCTGCTTATTACACACACAGTGACCCACAGCAGCACACAAACATGCCAAATGTTAAAAATGAAAGGATTATCATGTAAAAGGTTATTTTTGTGCCCTGTAGATGGGCAGGACCTTTCCTCTCTGGAGAAGCGTTCAGTCTTTGCTCTTGAAAATTCCGCCGTGTAAATACCGAATCCGCCATGGCGCGAGCACAACTGGCTCTTAAAGAAAATGGGAGATGAGACTCTTACTTGGTTTATGGCACGTTACGCCCAAAACACACCCATTACTCATTAAGTGAATAGGTACAACCCTTTTGGACCAAGGCGTCTGGCGCGCTGAATTTTTTTTCCGTCGGTAAACTAGCAAAAGTGGATTCGGACATGCTCTATGTGCACTTGCGCCACTTCAGACCATGCGCTTAGATCGCTAAAATAGGACCCTACATGTTAAGAGATAAAGAAACTCTCTGTAGTTCTTGTGTTTCTCTTTTCTTCAGTGATTCTGCTAGTTAACAGCAGGCATTCATCACTAATGCTCAATCAGCACTTCATTATATCATCTTCAGCACTGCTTCAGTGTTACTTTAACACTCTAAGTGTGGACTCATATAAACACTGAGCTGTGTTCATTTAACACCAGGGATTTTGCCATGGGAACATATAGTTGCCCAAATAGTTAATCCGCCAAGGCTTTGGTGTAAAAACAGCATGTCGAATGATAGTATGAAATTGTGTATGATACATGGTGACAGGAGACTGGGTTAATGTTTTTAACCGGGGATTAAATGGTTAGAATATTAGAAACAATTACATATTATGTAGCTGCAGCTAATGATATGAACTATTTGACAGGGGATTCACAGGATCTGAGGACTGTGCTGCTGGGAGTCTCTGGAGCTGGAAAGAGTTCAGCTGGAAATGCAATACTGGGTCAAGATGTATTTGAAGAGAGCAGAACCAGAGAGAGTGAGATACAGAGAGGAAGAGTAGAAGACAGAAACATCTCCATCATCGACACTCCAGGATTCTTCAACACTCATCTGACTGATGAAGAGCTGCATGAGCAGATGATGAAGAGTCTCTCTCTCGCTCATCCTGGTCCTCATGTGTTCCTGCTCATCATCAACCTAGAGACCTTTGAGGAGGACGAGAGGAATGTTGTGGAGCAAATTCAGGAGTACTTTGGAGAAGAAGCTTTTAAATACACTCTGGTTCTGATTACTGGAAGAGAACAAATGTCAAACAGAGAATGGATGGTCCTTAAACGTAATGGAAAATTTCATGACCTAGTCAGTCATTTCAGAGGACAATATCATGAGATCAACAGTAAAAATGAGATTAATCAATCTCACATCAAAAAACTTCTACACAAGATTGATGAATTCATCAAACAGAATGATGGCCAGCATTACAATAACAAGACTGACTCTGTGTCTGTAACGGAGAGCAGAAAAGAAAAGAAACTACAAGAAGAAAATAAGTCCAAGGAAAAAGAGCAAGAGATAGAGAGACAAGAGCGAATAACATGGGAAACTTTAGAAACGATCAGTGCAATGGAAGAAAGAACAACACAAGCTCTGTTTGAAACACAAAATGAATGTCTTATTCCTTATGTCCGACAAACAAAGAAAACAACTTATGTACATAAAGAAATGATTCTACAAAGAAAGAATCCATTAGATAGAATGCTGCCATTCTCAGTAGAAGAAAATAATCCAACCCAATCAGGTGAGAACTTTTAATTAAACTATTGCACTTTTTCCCCAAATCTCATGGCACCTTCCTCAAAACTGTAAAATCAGTCGTCAACAATTGTGCTAGTGGTTTTTAAAATCAACCTCTATAAAATTCAAAAACTCTCCAACATCATCCCAGCTAACGAGTTTTTGATCTAAGAACATTTTACAAACAGTTTTTTTAATGTTAGTGAAACATTGTTTAAGGTTAGAATGATGCTCCTGAAACATTCTTTCAACCTAATTTTTATTATTGCACGGCTCTAAGGAATACTTAATTCAGATTGGTCAGTCACTACATTCCAAGGTGTGTTATTCCCCGATAACAACTGTCGTCATTAGCAACAGCGAATAATATACCACTCAACTGCTTTCATTTCAAATAGCATTTTATATCCTCATCTTTATTTATGTGGTAAAAAGCTGTGTAATTAGTGATACAGCTGAACATTATGCCTTAATTGTCCATCTTGTCTAAACGTTCTCAAGGCTTAAAGCTGTTTGTAAGAAACTGTTTTTCTTTGCGTAAGCTTTGTGTTTAAAGAGCTAATAAATATTTGAAGTCAAATCAATATTTCATATCTAACTATTTACTTGTGTGGCAAGTAACATCTCGGTTACGTACGTAACCCTCGTTCCCTGATGGAGGGAACAGAGATGTTATGTTGTGACGACATTAGGGGTCTAACTTGGGAGCCCAATCATCTCTGAGTTTAAGTGAAAATGCCAATGAGAATTGGCTAGTGGATTTTGCATGCTGAGCCACTCCCCGTGCACACGGGTATACAAGGCGACAGCGCGCATCCACTCATTAGGTTTTACGCTGAGGAGCCAAGAATGTGTCCCGACATCAGCGAATGGCTCAAGGTTGTGGCATGGGGACATAACATCTCCGTTCCCTCCATCAGGGAACGAGGGTTA